ACCAAGTCAACTATCAAATAGCTTATTTTCATGTTATTTACCTTGGTATAAATTACTCAGTTCAAGCAATTAACACAGTTTTAAACTGTTTATTCATCATGCTTCTTTCAGAATCTGAAAAATCATTATGCAAAGGTTCTTCATGAATATAAAGTAGAAGAAAATCAAAACAATATTTAATATTTTATTGTTATTTATTTATAGCTACATTGCATTAAAAGATTTTTCACTTACCAGTCAGCTATACATCCTGTTATTAAGTGGCCGAAGATTAATCCTACCAGTAGGGAGAATTTAGCAATGTGGACCTTCCAGGCAGACTCACAAACAAGATCCCACTGGAAGAAAAACACACAACAGAAACTGAAATAAATTAGTTTCTCAGATGTGTTTAAACATACATACATTGGTGTAGAGCTTCTTCCAAATTTCAATCTAGTGTGAGTGCATAGAAACGGCAGAAGAAAGCTTTCTGCCTCAAGGCAAACCCCAGACCCCAAGAAGCAAATTCAAGACTCATTTACTTCAGCGAGTTTTATCAGGCCCTTATTTATAAAATGACAACATCCAACACTTAAGTCTCCTCCTCTCCAGGGCACGTGAATTTAGACTAAGTGGCATATCTCCGACACTGGCAGTACTGACGTAGCGGAGCATCTCACCGCAGCAGCCCAGCGAAGCTCACCGGCGGAAAGTTCTCCCACTGAGCTCCTCAGGGCTGCTGGGACACACGGGGACAAGCAGCTGCTCCGCCGCAGACCCCGGATGGCCGTCAGCTCCAGGCTCCCACAGACAAAGCGTCAAGACACTTTTGCTTTCAGAAAAGCATCCCGATTCCCCAGGCGGTAGAAGGGGATGAAGACCAACTGACAGCCACGGCTCACCAGGACAAGCCCTGGCACGGCAGCAGACAGGGCAGCCACGTGACAGCAGCCTCCGCAGCGACATTTCATGGCCCAGAGGTCAGACAGGGGCTGAACCTCCACACTAAAGCTACCCCGATAGTGAAATTACCTTTTCTGTTCAGAGGAAGAGAAAATGGACCTTTTCGGGTGCCCCATCATTAGGGCACTGCCTCATTCCCATGAGAATGATGGGAACAGCAAGGTTTCTAGTGAGGCTTCCCTAAACTCCAAGACATTTTCCTCTAAGGCATTAGACTAAGTCTCTGTAGAGCCAGGCTGGCAGATTCCTGGCTTTAGCCCAACACCCTCACTGCCCTCAGACTTGTAACCATCTCTCTCTCTGTGTGAGGTGTGGATGGTACTATTATACCCTTGAATAAATGTAGGAAGATATGTTTGTTCATGGTTTGTGAATTGTTCAAATATTGATGGTAATGGGAGCCATGCACATTACATGAAAAAAAAGTACAGCTAACTTTGGAGAGTCAGATACTTCAAAATTGAACCTTTGCAGAATAAAAGGTTGTTCGGGTGTAATGTAATAGTAACAGTCATCCTGACACCAGTAACTGAAGTTTCATGGGCAAATACGTAAAGTAAAAGTATGCAATTTATTTTTAAAATTCAGGTGCAACTGTGAAAGAAAGCTTCCTTCAAAAGAGTTTGGTTAGGTGCAGTGCAGTTTTAAGCATTTCTGTGACATACAGCCCTCCCACAAATAAGGTTAGCTCTGACGCAGCCCTCCGGTTCATCACAGGGGATGTCCTCCTGACCACACACCATCTCACCAAAAAGTGTGGCACGTCTGTGGCAGAAAGAAACGTGCCAGCTTTCTGCAAACATTCAGGCTTTTTGTTTCAGTTAAATGTATTTTTTGAGTTCCTCACTGTACTGACTTGTAGAAGTTGGGACGTACGCATCTGATCCTCCAAGCTACAGACCGAAGGCACTAAGGAACCAGAAGCAAGTAGTATGAGTATTTTTCCCACCAAATAGCTTTGAGTTATTTGCAGCAAAACAGCTCAGTAAGGCAGTGAGAATTTCTCTCTGCAGAGGTTTGCACCTTAGAAGTATTCAGCAAGTGGGGGAAACACAATTCCTAATATTTGTAATTACGGAACCAATCTCCAGCTAGCAAAGAAAACATCTGCCCAGACAAGCCGCAAACAAAACAAAATTCAAGAGGTATATCTGAGCTTCAGGCAGGCTTTCAAATGCTCTGGGTTTATTTTCACAATGCAGAAGGTGTATATACTGCTTTAAAAAGAGAAATAATTTTTGTTTGTGGAATACAAATTAAGTTATTAAAAATAGTCATATTTACACAAGAACACCTTTTTTTAAAGGCAATCTCTACAAGATGTTAATTTTTAATTTTATGGCTGTCAGAGGAACCGTGATGTCATCCAAATGCAAAAAGAAAAAGCAGATATCCCAGTGCCTTTTCATTTTCACAGCTGACTATTGCTAGTCGAAGAGAGCCAGCCTTCGCACGAGCTCCAGGCAGAGAACGTGCAGTACCAGATTACACAGAGGTAAAAGTTCATGGGTGGAAGAGCCAAAAGTCCCATGAAGGCCTGTTGTGAAATTTCAGGCCAGGCCAACAGATGTCAAACCACTTTGGCACACTGGCACACAGAGTAAGAGTTTAAAAGCAGAAGTAAATATATCAGCAGGTCCTTCAGTGCTGCCTAAAATGCACCCACCATTCCTATTGATAACTTATCTGGGGGTAATCATTTGTTTGTTTTTAAGGCTATTGCCCAACTTCCCAGCTGCTCTGAAAATAAGAACTTGTATTTCCTTGCAAACCCTGCATCTGGCCCTTTCGTGTCCTAGCGAAGCACTCACTCTGCAAGCCAGAGTAAATCAGAGCTGATCCCCGAGCCCACAAAGGCGGCGTAACATGGGTGCTGCCAGACACGAGCAGCCCCTGACCATCCCTGAACCTCTCCAAAACCCTCAGAATTTGTACATAGTGAAATGGTGAAATATTTTAACAGCTGCTTTAGCACAAACTTTCAGAGAATCTGCCGCAACCCTAAATTACTCGCTCAGTACTAAAAGCACGAGCATACCCACGTTTCTTCTCCGGCAGCTGTCACAAACCGGAGAGAGGCCGCTGTGAAGCATTTGTCCAAAATGAATTTGGGAGGACAGCGGTGGGTGCCACCGGGGCATTTGACTGGCAAAGAGACAGAAGAATAAGGAGAGGACACGAAAGAAAAATGGATGCCGCAGTCAAAAGTGGACTCAGATAAAGATGATATTAATAGGACAAAATACATATTTAATAGGTAGCATATCGTCCTCACCCATCGTAACAGAGCAGCAGAGCAAACCAGCAAAGCTTCATCGTGCTGGAAGATGTGAAATTTTGCCAGAGACCCGCACTCCCCCCATCCTTTCTCCATGGAAAAGCCAAAGGCAGAGGATTGCAGCCTCAGCTTTGAAGAGCTGGAAATAAAGGGCTGTCAAGCAGGAACCACTGTATATTATCAACTCTGCCCTTATATACATCTCGGCTTGGCAGAGTGTATTTGACACGTGCCCACACGGCCATGGCAGGTCCTGCCGTAAGCACCAGGAGTTTCATCCTGCAAACACAACACCCACATTTGTTCCACAGAGAAAGCAGTGACAGGTTTCCACATCCCTGCAGAACAAAACGCTGGGCTGGGCGGTGCTGATGACAGTTCAAGTGGCACTCCAAGTAAATCTGCACCAGGAGATTGTTTTGGCCAGAGATGATACAGTAATCCTCTACGCCTCTTACAAAAGGTAGATTAATCTGTTACAAGCAGGGAGACCGTGAAATTCTTTAACTGCTCTGGCTGAATCCCCTGGTGTCCCACTTGGGAGTTAACAGCACCCAGCCTGAAGGAAAGGTACTGCTAAATTTTCAGTGCTCCCTGGGATTTCTCTTTGAGTTCCTGGGTTTTGTCTGGCTTTCTGTCCTCCATCCATCCTCCTAATGCAAGAGATCTGATAAAGTGACTTGCTAAACCAATAAGACTGTATTGTTATGCTGAAACAAAAACAACTGTATATAAAATATGCTGGTGGAAAGGGAACGTTTCCCAAAAAAAAGCTTTTTTTGTAGCAGTACAGCAATGTAGAGAATTTGCCACCTTTGCAGATGCGCAATATATTGCAAGTGGTTTTTTTCATGTTGTGACAGCATTTTTATGTCAGAACTTAAGGAGTCACACCTTCAGGATCCTAATGTTTAATTGATATCGGTGAGTCACCACCCATGCTGTGAGTCACTATGCTTCACATCAAGATGGAGGACTATTTCAAACGTGAAATCCTTCGGAAGACATCTGGCAAAAGGTAACGCACCCAAGAAGTAACCTTCTTGTAATTTCTTTACAAGGGGTGAAAATCTGGACAGGGTTCATACTGTGAGTCAGTATTTGCACTGAAGTCACAAATGTAAAGTCTGCTCCATGTTTGTTACTACAAACACAAGCTGTCTCAACTAAGGGCTCCTGCCTTGAAAGCACTTGTCCTCCAGAGGCCATAATGCCATCTGTGGTGTCTAAGAACACTGTATACCCACTGCAAAAAGGTCATAATAAGATGTCTACCATGGATTTGGTTGCTTCTACCTTCACACTGATTGCATGGAAAAGTGCAAGGCAGATCCTGCTGTCCTAAAAAGAGCAGAGACAGGAGCAGAGACACTCTACGCCAGGCTCTGGGCAAGTGTTGGACCAAAGAGCCCATGAGAGGGGAGCTGGACACGCACACCCTCTCCCTGCACTGTGGGTTCACAGTGTTTCCAATGACCGATGCCCAAATTGCTGCTGAAAGAAAGCAGACCCTTCCCCAAACAATCTGCAGGTGGCTCGTAGCTCTGTTTTGACTGCTCTCTGCATTGGTTTCAGGACAAGGAGACCAGAGCATCACCCACACTGCTGCCTTGGAAGACCCTAAGCCAGGCACGAAGCTGCACCCTCGGTCCTTGCCCAGCCAGGCAGCACCCAGCTGCTGTGCTGGTCTTTGCAGGCTCCATCCCGAGGCACGTAATGTGCCCCACGTAAGCAGCCTCTCGATTCCTAGACAAAAGGTCTCACTTTGGAAGCCCCAGCCTCTACGTATCTCACATGCCACAGCTTACCATGGCGGACCCAAATCCCTCCTAGGGAAAAGCCACGGGCTCACCTGCACATTGGATGCTGATTTTAAGACAAGTAAATGCAAATAAAAATCTGTCATTTGTCAGTGAGGTCTGTGTGTGTTGGGTCTCATCTTTCTTTGTTCTTCTCTTTCCTGCTTCATCTTTTTATAGCCAAACCCTGTCAATTTTCCCTGCGCAGCACTAGAATCCATCTTCTATATAAATACCTCGTCTAGTGAGAGTTTAAATTTATGATGTCTTCAGATTCTCTTACAGTATTTTTGCAAAAAAGTGAACCACA